CCCCCCCCCCCAAGTTTTTGGCTAGAATATTACAAAAACCTGGGTAAAAGATGTTTACAACACAAAGATTACCTTCTTTGATTTTCTGCGTGGTGGCGTCATATTTGTTTCTACCATGGAGTTAACGAACTGCAGTCATTCCAACCTCACTGCGTTTGTGTAGTCCGTTAGACAGATTAAGGATTTTTAGCACACGTCGCCGTTGCTTGAATGGCTGGCAAGCAGTTGGAGACTAAGGCATCCTGGAACTGTTCGTGGCTCACCTAAACTGTGTGATGTTCGCTTTTGGCACGAAAGCAACCAATAGAAAACAAAAAACAAAGGTTTGTGATGTGCACAGGTGAACTTGACCTCATATTTTGGGGGTCAACCGTACTGTGAACGGCTCGGTCACAGCAGTTCAGTATGCAAGAGGCAGTCACTCACGCCGCGCGTCAGGTTACAGGATACCACCGTGGACACCCTGCACGTGTTCGTACGCGTTACAGGCAATTGTTTCAGCGTATCAACAGTCAGCGATGACCAAGCGAAATCTCCTGCCATCGAGTCCGATCTGAGAAGGTAGGGCTCCAGATGCCGGCCGGGGTCAAACAAGCGCAAGGCGCTCGAGCTCCCAGGCTTCAACCAGTCAGCACGAGTAGGCCATCCTAGACTGCCTACGCTCCAAATCGCTCGCGATCCTCCCGACCGCCAGGACAAACGGCGGTGTGTTAAGTTTCGTCGAAAAGCTTCAAACCAGTCACGATGGCGGTGAGACACAGCTGGAGTAATGTTGGACGACATTTGGCACTCCCTTACGAAGGGCTGTTTCGCGGAAACATGAATTGAACGTAACCGAAAAGTCTTGCAAAGGTGAAAATGACAAAAAGGAAATGGTGCACAACACGTCAGGTGTAGCGGCACGTACGCACGCCAAACTATCGCGCGTAAGTAAGCTTCATTTTACACATTAGCTGGGATGGGAAGTGCTCTTTGCCCTGGAGAAGGCTATCACGATGAAGTAGATAACATTTTTATTTTAAAAACTTGATCCACATGTATATAATTATTTAAGTCCCGAAACAGAAGCAGTCGGATGACATGCAAAACATTACAGAGTGGGTTCTCTTCACCGGTATATTTCCCTACGGCTGTGCCAAGCTGTTTTTGCTGAAACTGACGCACTAAACTTGTCTTCCGCCGGGAGCAGTGCCAAAGAGGCGTGGGTCGTGCGGAGCGCAATGAGCTTCGAATCTCAATGAGCCTCCTTCGCGCAATGCAGTGTAGCGCAGATGGGTTTCGACAGGTGATCGATCCACCTTAGGCGGCAGGCGGCAGGCGGCAGGCGGTCGTCGGACCCGTCGGTCGTCGAGCGGCTCGGAATGTCAGCACCGCCGCACCGACGCCCTCCCGGCTCCCGTTTGTCGAAGCAGAATGTATGCATGCTCGCGTGACCTTGGAGCGGCTCGTGGGTCGCTGACACACTCATTGGCAAAGGCAAAGAATGCCACAGCTTGCGCCGTCCGAGGAATCAGCCAACTCAAACCCAACCCGCCAAAGGGTCTTGCGAAGCTAAACGGACCAGCAACTAAGCATCATGTACGTGGGAAAGTACGCACTTCAACGAAATGCCAATGTGCAACCGCATTCTGTCTCGTTTTCCCCGTGTCCGCAGTATTTCCTGTGACTGAGGACTGGGCACAGAACAATACAGCGCTCCCTTCGTGTCATTTGCCGCATGTCGCAGCAGCGATGCTGACCGGCCAAACTTTACAACAAACAAAACCAAAACCAAAAAAACATGAGGGTGTAAATGTGGTGAGCATTCCACCTTTCCATGATGCACCATAGATACATCGTTCACTTCTGAAGGTATTACAGGTGCAGCCTCATCCCACTTGAACAGCTGAGCGCGACACATTGTCTAAACAATCGC